AATGCCAGCTGAAAGCCAGTTGAAAATGGCAAGGCATTTAAAAGTCTGTCTCTGTTAATATGGAAGTAACATGAGACAACCTCTATTTTATGTGCTTGCAACACAGCAAAACCATGTCCCTAAGTGCCTCATCTACATGTCTACAGCTACTGAAAAAGTGTCAGCTGATGTATTTACACATTTTGGGGACTGACCCAACTCCAAATAAAGTCAAGGGAAAGATTCGCGTTGTCTTCAGAAAGAGTTCTGCCAGGCTCTTCCCCCAAGCCAGTCATCCAAAGTTCAGCAGATGCCCGCCTGTGCTGCTAAAAAGAGCTCACCCTCCTCTGTGTAGGTGGGAGTAGATGCCTTTCCCAGAGAACGTAACCCAGTGAAAGGGCTGAGTCTCTAATACTCGTTTCATTTTTACACAAGTGCATAAAAAGGCTTATACTCTTCCATCTCTCCAATAGCCTGCATATTGGGGCAGTCCCACATGAGGCAGAGAATACGGATCTGAGTAGCTTCAGGTGGGGGTGTGCTGGAAAAGAAAATGTGTCTGTCTTCAACTTCCATATATAAAGTTCACTTAGGGGCCTGTAGCTGTTATCAATTTGGCCTGAGGAAGCTTATGTGAAAAAAAACAATTTTTCACACTGAAAATATGAGATATCTCTATATGTTCACAATTGCTAAAAGTCCCACCCTCCTTTGCAAAGAAGAATTTTTTGTTGGAATTTGATTGTCTTACTGGAATGCAAAAGGAAAAAGATAAATGATGTAGTCTCCCTTGGCTGAATCCTCAGCAAAGGCAAATTTGAAGACCTCAGAAAAAGTCATCCTGAATTAATTCTGTAGAACCTGATCTTTGTTTATATCAAACTGTCGGCTTCTTTGTCTTCAGCTAGGCTGGAAATTTAAGTGGTTCATCATTATGCTATCCAGATATTACAGTAATGAAACTATATCAAAACCTATCCATAAAACCATAAAAAATCAAATGAAACAACAACTGAAGTGTTCAGTTCAATCCTTCTACCAGGTTTGCTGTTTTGGCTACTGTGTTTCGCAGGGTGTTCTCCAGGGAGAGAAGGAAAGGGGAAGACAAAGCATGGGAATGCCAAGACGGAAGGTCACTAGGCCTAAGAAAACTAATGTAAAAAACTAAAACTTGTAAGGAGGCCTCTTGAGTCTGGCAGTGACAAAAACCCCAGAAGAATGCAGGCAAATACAGGCTGGAAAGTGACGCAATTTTTCCTGCAGTATGAGTAACCGTTGGATGCAATAAAGCCACGTGCGGCAAGTTTTCCATCAGAAATGACCAATTACTGAGGCAGAACGTATTCTGAATGAATCAAAAGTAATAGTTATTGAAGAAGTTGGAGTGGGTGATTTCACAGACCCCTCCTAGCCTGATCATCTCTACATCTGAGTGCTTAAAGCCCAGAGTGACTAACACACTTGAGTATATGCCTATTTTTAAGCAATTTAAGCCAACAGGATGATTCAGTTACACATAATTACAGACATACTTTATGACTGAAGGCATGACATAGAGAAAGAAAGTGGTTTTGGTCTACTAATGACTGTTGGTACCTTGGGAAATATGCTGTGTGTGTATGTGGCCATCAGACTCCTCTGCTGTTTCTACCCCTCTAGAAAATTCAAGGTCCCTGCAGTGTTTTCTTTCCCATTGGAAAATCCCACAGTGGGCTTTTGGAGGGCCAGCCTTCTCTGAAGGTCAGCCTACATGCTTCTACATGAGCCAAGGGATCCCCATTGTGCCTAAGAACAAGCCTAATTGATCTGGGCAGCTGGGGGGAGGAGAAGGCGTGAGGGACATTTGTAAAGCTCCTGCTGCTGAGTTTCCTTGGTGTGGGAGAAGGGGCCTGGGCCACTTTGCGCAGGTCCTGGGATCAATGATCATTTAAGCCTGCTACATTTAGTTATGAAAACAAGCCTTGCTTGCCAGCTCAGGGTTTCTGCCCCATGGAAACAGGCTGAATTTGTCACCCAAGCAGCAAGACTTTTCTTTCTCCCAGGAGTGGGTTTATCAAGAAAGAAGGACCAAGGAATTCAAGGAGGCTCCGGGTGCCACACATCACTCTGTAAACATCACCCAGTGCATGGTGCATGTTCTGGCTCACATGATGGCTCGGTGATGCTCATCACATGTATTTTGGCTGCATTACTGCTGCATTCTCAGGCTCTGTGGCCCACAGAAATGCCCAACAAACTTAGTTTTTCAGGGTGTTCATGTTGAACTTAATGGTAAACCAAAACTATCTGAGTTTAAAATGGCATAGAGTTAACACCGTAACCGAGGTTTCCCACGCTAGGTAAAATGAAGTAAAAATGCTATTGCAGCAAAGCCTATGAATAAGTTTTTTTTCGATTACATATATACCTACATGTAGGGGAGTTTCTACTTGATTGGAGCATTGGCACATTTGTTGGTGGAGAACTTAAAATATTTTTGTGTGGCTGGTGCATAAAACAATTTTAAGTCTTCTTACTGCAACAGGCAATGCCAAATTCAGGAATTCGGTCCCTTCATCAGAAATGCTGGGAGCAGTCTCTGTTCGTTTGGATTTTATAGCCCTGAATCTGTTCTGGAAGGGGGGTGCCTTTATCCTTTTTTCCTTAAGGAACTAAATGTTTCTCTTCTAAAAAAACCACTATTATTGCTTTGGTTTTGCCCTCTTCTAAAACAGCATAGTGGTGAGAGCATTCACTAAATTGAACTGTTTGTTCAAATCTCTCCTCAGAATGAATGAGCTCAAGGCCATATCTAGCCATTATACACAAAACCTTCAGTAAATTGTGTGTTAGGCCCTGGGTATATGAACTAGTGCCCAGGTCTCCCAAGTCAAAACTTTAGCCTGCAAGTTCAATGCACAAACAAACCAATTATTTAACGTAACTCAAGTCAACCTAACCCAACCAAACCCACATAAGCACAATGGATTTTATAACTATTTCTGCAAACAGATGAATATTAGGAGAGGCATTTTGACTGCGTTTCATGTTGGTATTTTTTCCCTATGACCTAAAAGGTTGTCCAAAATGTTGGGTCTAGATGGGTGCAGAGACAGATTTGTTCCACATATTTTTATAACCCTTGTGCATCATCCAGCCATTCACCCTGAGCTGGCATTTAACATGAAAATACTCTGATGGGGAGAAACACACACAATGGTGGTAGCCATGGGTCTGCCCGAAAGCACACTGGCTTCCAGGAGCTGTGGATTCTGCAGGACAAAGTCCTGTATTTATACACAGAAGTGTTTCTGGATAGACGGTTGAAGCGAACACTTCTCACACAGCTTTCTGCAGTCGTGCCTCAGTCACGACCCAGTGCAAACTCCCGCAGGGGTGAGAGGTTCGTTCAAACTCTATGGCTCGTTGGGTTCTTGGCTCCTCTGCCAATTAGCATTGTCAGTTATCTGTGGCAGCAGACACGGGGCAATTTTTTATTCCAGTTTATGTGTCATTCTAACTATTCACGGACCTTCACAATAAAACCCCATTGCTAAAGAATACAGATCCCAGAGAACCACAGAGGGCAAAAAAACCCAGAGGGTCACTGCAGCGGGAATGTGTCGTGCTGCAGACAGTTCTCGGGGAAAAGCTGGGAGTGGGCTGCTCCGATATCAACTGAGAGGTGCTCAAGAAGAAAGGTTGTTGTAACAGCAGGGACAGGACTCAGGGTAAGGATACAGAAAAGCCAGAAGGCTAGGAAGGAATTGGGTGGATGGAAGAGAAAAGAGAATCCTTTTTCTGGTGCTGTATGACATAAAAAAACAGGTCCAGAAGCGATCTGCTGGACTGCTGTGCCCGGTCCCCTGCTATTACCAGCAAGCAGCTCATCTAACATTATGAATTTATTATGGAGGGTTCCTTTTTTTTTTTTTTTCCCCCTGACTTCTGATCACAACTCCTTATTTTGGTGATTTCAATTTCCTGCCTAAATTTATTCATGACTAGTGTCCTCTTACGTCAATACGGCCTTTAGATAAACAGCTCTTCTCCCTCCTTAATGTTTGCTCCAGCTGATAACACTGAGTTTGAAAGTGAAAAAGATATCCCAACTCCTTTATTCCCCTCATTTATCATCCCAGTGGGGAAATCTCACAGTTGCAGACAGCTAGCGTGGGATACAGATCCAGATGAAAAATAGACAATATGATGTCTGCACATAGATTTCCTGCCTAAACTCCGGCATAGATCTGGTCACTGCAATCGGCGGAGCCCAGAGACCCATCCAAACGCAGGTGCCTTCTTCAAAGCGAGGTGAAGAGCTCTCCAGACTCCAGTGAGTCTATTAATTAGAGCTCGACTGACTATGGTTGCACTTTACACATGTAGCTCATGTATAGGTACTTACCCCGTAGATACCTGAAGTTAGTTATATGAATCTGGATCTGACTCCCACCCTCACCGAAGGGAAAGGTTTTACTGAATCCCTAAATACAGGACTGCAAGTCTCCTTTGACCAGAATATCCAAGAAATTAGCATGGGACTGGGAGATGGACACAGGACTGATGGGAGCCCCAAAATCTTATCATAGAATCATAGAATCATTAAGGTTGGAAAAGACCTCTAAGATCATCGAGTCCAACTGTCAACCCAACACCACCAGGCCCACTAAACCATGTCCCTAAGCACCTCATCTACACGTCTTTTAAATACCTCCAGGGATGGGGACTCCACCACTTCCCTGGGCAGCCTCTTCCAATGTTTAACCACTCAATGTTTAACCATCTTGTAGAGCCCCAGTCGTGGGTTTGACCTCAGAAGGGAACAGATGCCTATAAACTTTTGACCCTGCTAATTTATTTTATGCCTTTTCCATGCAAACTAAACTGCAGCAGTCATGTTTTTGTTTCTTTCAAACGAGAAAAAAAATTGAAATCTTCCCAAAGTACTGTCTCACGTGCATTTGCAGGGCAATTTTTGGTGCATTGTTTAAGAGGGGCAACAGAATAAGTTGGAAACTTCAATGTGTGCGGCTACTTACTGAACTCACAAAGCAGTGTTCAGATTCTCCGCTTTCAAATAGGATGACATCTTTTATGAAGACTGCGATGGCTCTCATTATGAAGGACATGAAGAGGTGCATATGAATATAATTTCGAGTACAGTGTAGTTTTCTGTTGGGAAGAGATGAAACAACATTTCTGAATAGCACGGCTTCTCAAAAGCATTATTTATCTGTTTACATGTTTCTTCTGCCAAGACATAGACTTACAATTAAACATTAGAACAGAGCCAGACTATGTTCTGATGTACATCACTGCAAATTCACTTAAGCCTTTTTAAATCCACAAAATATGTGGCAATCCATACATCTGCAGCAGTGTTGCGGCTTTTCCAATTCTCAGAAAAAAAGGTCAAAATACAGAATGACAGAAAACAGGTCCATCACACTGCTCTCCACTGGAAAAGAAATGTTTTTGACTGAGCAAACTGTGCTCGTGATAAAGGTCTGTTTTCTACAGAATGTTTGTACTGCAGTAATTCTTTTCAAAGTGGAATGTTTCTTTAGGAAGAGAAATAAATTCTTAGCAGCAGCTGCCAAAATTAACACGTATTACAGGTTTTCTGGAGCAATATGAACTATATTTTCACTTAAAGATGAGTAGTTATTAATGATTGAGAACAACACCAGGGTTTTTCTGTCCCTTGCCCACTAATATTTTGAAGATGAATTCTGATCAAGTAGGTCTTTTTTTTCAAGTGAGACTTTACATCAGCTAGATGGAAGGGCCTAATACTCTGGAAATGGGTACTTTGTACAGTCATCAGAACCACAGCAGTCCTCACTCAGCAACATGATCAAATCACCACCTCTTAATGAGTCACTGTGCATTGGCAGAGTTCATGCTCTTAATCTCTGATGATGCCATGATAATGCGACTGAGCTGAGTCCTCCGTACTGCAGGCGAGGGCAAGTCAAATTCCCCTGTTTCTCACAAATGAGGAGCGTGAACCCCGACAGTTTCACCAGCTTGGCTGGCACCTTCTACCTTGTTGAGATGAGATAATTTGCATGTGTGTCTGATTCACTCTTCCCTTGTAGGAGGAGTGGAGAGAGCGTGTGTGCTGAGAAGTGCAAAGATCTTGAAGGGTGAGGCCAGTCTTGGTATAAGTGTGAGAGTTACCCTAGAACGTACGCTGTTTCCTACAGCTTTCTTTGGGGGTGATGCCTGGAGCAGACTGTCATAAATTGGACAACCATATAACGCATTTCAGGGAAGCCACTGGAGAGTGGCATGAGGAGATGGAATCACATCTAGAAGGTTCTTCCATCTCACAGAGGTCTGCTTTTTGCTGTTCTCCCTGTGGAATCACATCTAGAAGGTTCTTCCATCTGCTTTTTGCTGTTCTCCCTATACATAAACAACATTATAATAGGAGATTACCTTATATGCAGACTTCATTGGAGGCACCAAAATTTAGATGCCTGAATCTATTATAAACAATAGACACTAAGGATTAATTCATTTGCTGCAATCTAGGCATCTAATGTCATTTGATATGCTGTAGAGTATCTGCCCATCAATCCATAAGGGCCTGGATCTCCTGAAGGTCCCGCATCATATCTGCTACCCTTGTGCACATCTCAGAGACTCCAGCATGTCTAAAAAGGTTCTGGGTGTCTATGTCTTGCCATAGAGCTGTAGCAGGAAGCACTTCTGAAATAGATTTTGGGAGGTAGTTTTGGGGTGTGATTCACCTGTACTGTTTTGAATATCTACTTTAGTAGAAATGCATCATTCCACAGTATCCATATATTCCATACTGACTAGGTCTCTGTGGACTATAACAAGATTATGGGACAATGGCCTCTAATACAGAGATCCATCACGAAACAATCTACATTTAGTGAGATGAATCCCACCTAAATAATTGAACTGGGGTTATAACTCTCACTCAAAGGCCACAAATCACATACCAAAAAACAGTGGTACTGAAATATGGAGGAACTTTCCTCCCCTGTCCAACCGAGACTTGACAGAAGTCTTTTGGATCCATCTGTAATACTCATAGCCTATAACTTAAACAGCCACTACGTCACTACGTCACCACAAATCACATACCAGAAAACAGTGGTACTGAAATATGGAGGAACTTTCCTCCCCTGTCCAACCGAGACTTGACAGAAGTCTTTTGGATCCATCTGTAATACTCATAGCCTATAACTTAAACAGCCACTACGTCCACTACGTCACCCCCTTACCTATGCCTTTTTTGCTCATGGTCTTACCTGAAGAGACATAAAATGATCATAGCAGCTGTGAGAGCAAGGAGCGATAAGGTATGTCCAATGGTGTAGCCGGTCTTGACTGTGCCATAGAACGCCGTTTGCTAATGTGAAGGAAAGAAAAAGAGCAGGTCTTTCAAAGAGCTGCCAACATGCATTCTGAAATACACCATCACTGAGCTTTTACTGACTTTCTTGGTGAGACAAGGAAATCATCCTACTCCATTCTCTTAAAAAATCTCCAACTCCTTCACCCTTTAAAATCACATCCAATAGCGTACATGACTCGAATACCACCAGTGTGAATAAGAAGAACGTGTCTGGTTGCAGTAGAGCTTGGATCACTCCAAAACCAGGTTACAGTTACACAAGGGAAAAGTTCATGCAGGAAGGAGTTTGATTTGACACTTGCAGAGACAGCCACATGGTTATAAGTTTGTGGAACAAGAATGACTAATGTTCAGTTAAACAGCGCACTGACACATCGGCTCTGAGGTGGTGAGTATGATGAGCTTCATGTTATTAAGGAAGTTTGAGGACAGAACTGGTCTGGAAATTGGTTTGCTTTTGTGGAAGCTAGACATTGTGTTTCGGCAAGTAAAAACTTAAAATGTTCTCATTGAAATCACAGATAGGTTAAATCAGAAATATATGTTAAGTTGGAAATTAGTTCATGGCTTTTCTCTTTGACAGCACACAGAGGGAATCTCTCAGCATGGGGCACCACGGGACTTAAATCCAACAGGGAATCCTGCTCTAAATAAAATGGGAAAGTAAGGCAACAAAACTCCAGACTTCTAAGGCTCTCCAGCAACATTCTAAATCAATATATTTTGATTTGAAGCTTAAAAAAAGGACAAAAGATCATTGGTATTTGGACATTTGTTTTATCAATGAAAAATCCAAGTTTTTATGAGAATTTAACTGTTTGTGGAAAATCTAATTTTTCCAGCCCTTGATTGACCCTCCTTGTCACCATTTTCTATAAAAAACCTATACAACCAAAACCACAAAGAGCAGTTTAGACAGAAAATCTAAACCTAACCTTGTTTGGGAAAACACTCTTTAATAACAGTGAGGGTTGACATTTTTATACGCTATTTTCATAGGCCTTGACAAGTGCTAGGTACTTTACAGAACCAGTAAGGCTGAGATGAGTAGTAATCCTCCAGCATTTGCACAAGCCAGCTTGGAGGGGTGTTAAAACAAGACAGAGCTTTCAGAGAGTGCAAAGGTTACACTGGTCTTACCTATATTGCTTCTTAGACCACAGATCTCAGAGACGGCTAAAAGCATGGTGTCTTTACACCCCATTCAGTGAATCCACATCACTAAGAGCTTTGGGTCAGTAACCTTGAATACATAATTCATAGCAAGGGTTTCAGACCAATTTATCTACCTGATCTTGCCCATATGATGCCAGGAGGCTGCAATGGTGATGGAGGCACCCAGTATTGTATGGTCATACCTAAGCCTCGCTCATCTGCACTGCATGGAGGGACTTGCATTGCAGTAAGGAACAGCAGAGGTTCCACCTTTCTACCCCACTGTCTTGCAGGTTCCACCCAAAGCTAACTAAATATAGTCTTGTTTCCAGTCTTGTCTGAGTTTGGGCTCCCAAAGGCAGCTGAGACTTTTCCAAGTCAACTTCCTTCATGTTGATTTCATCTTTCTCTCATTATCTAGTTTCCTTCTTGATGGCACCAGAGCAGAAGTGTTCCAGGAAAGACCTGGCCAGCAGAAGGAGGGAGCTTGTGGTAGGGGACTGAGTTTGAGGAAGAGGTTGTCCCACACTATATTTAGGAGAGCAGAGAAATGGGGGAAAGGAAATGAAGAGATATCATAGGAGATGTCAGTAGTGGGGTGGTGGATGGAAATTCTCCAGTGTGAATACAAGTATAGGCCTTTTGCTTCTTAGAGTTATTCACAGGAGCAAGTAATGCACAGAAAGATCTTGGTATTATTCAACAAGCAATCCCCTGCCCTTATATTTTACGATGACCAATCCTTCTTGTGTACAGCGAGATGACTCTGCATTGAGCTTCAATGTAGCATGTGGGGTCATCCCTGTTCTGGAAACAGCACATAATGACTTCTCACTCTTCATTTGCACTTGCTAATGACAATCACTTCCTATTTATCGAAGCAGAGAATTTGACCTAAGATCATAAATGGAACTGGAATTTCAGTCAGAGCTCAGATTACTAAAATATTCTTATTAGAAAAAAGAGGAATTTAGAGAAGTGAAGGAAATGCATGCCAGGATGCCTGGGTTCTAGCTGTAGACCTAGACTGATTTACAGAATGAAATTAGGCAATTTCATCATTCTCTCTCTGACTTCTGAAAGCCTCTGCTTAATTTCACAGGAACGTGATAAGAACAATTAAAGTAGATGCTAAACTGAGATTAACTGAGAATTACCTTCCTTGGTTTCTGTTCAGTAACCTCTACATTTGTCCCTTGGTAACTGAGATTAGAACGTGAAACATTTACATTTGTAAGAGAAAAAGAACAGAAATACTGATATCAAGTCTTTCAGTAGCCCTGCACCCAAACATGTTTTGGATTCGTGTCACCTAGCCTAAAGTCATCTGGGCTCCCTCTAGAGTAAATGCAAAGAGGTCCCTTTGGAGAAAAATGTGGGGTGAACTGACCTCTGCAGGTGTCTGTTTTCTTCACCATCTTCAGACAGAGCCTATGGGGACATCTGGGGTGGCCCCTCTCTGACCAGATGGAGGCACACAAGGGAGAAGTTGTGCATCACGTCTGACAACGGGACAGCAAAACAACCCCCCCATTTGCTAATACGTGGTTTTTAAAGGTCAGGTTGGAGAAGGGGTAATTATCACTGCAAAGGTCATAAGTGCACTACTTTGGTGCCTGCATCATCTGCTTCTTAGGGACTGCCAGAATTCACAACTAAAATCTTACACACAGCCCATATTTATTTTTCATATTTTTCTTGTTGTTTCTGACTTGAGACCAGTAGGCGTTAAAAGTGCATGAAGCGTTTAAAGCATGGAAGGTTATCAGTCTGTTCTGGACCTCATGTCACATACAGCCTGCTGTTCTCCTTTGTTTCTATTCCCTTTACTTCTTCCTCCCCAAATTGACAGCCAGTTCAACAACAACAAAAATCTATTCTTCTTCACAGGCTAGTACTGCATGTTCACCCCCCTCAGCCACCTTTCACACAAATTAGACTTAAACAGCATGACAAAACCGCGGAAATCGAGAGAAAATAATTAAGAAAGAATTAAAAGAACACAATACGTGTTCTCTTGGTAACGTGGCACTCTGGCAACGCTGCAATCCATTGGGTCGCCAAAGCATGTCCCAGGAATTCCCAAATCCCCTTTGCAGCTGGAACATAAACCAGAGCTCTCGATGGAGGACCTTCCCAGAGCAGACCCGTAACAATGGCTTTCGCAATGTGCAACTGGTGCCACGCAGCTCGATCTGAGAAACGGGACACTTGAGGACGTGAAGTCGTGGCTGACCTCGAAGGCAGACTAAGGCTTTCTTCAGTAGAGCCCTGAAATTCTTTGTGCAACTGTCCCTTTGCTATTTTCTGCATTCTTTCACTATTAAGGCTGGCTCAGTTCTGTTCAGATTCTCTGTTAACTCTTTGAGTGCCTTGGTAGTGTGTGACCATACGCAAAGACCTCTCACCATATATATTTATTCATGACTGAGATTCCTATGTCCAACATTCACAAACACTGACATATATCATACAGCAGAAAAAAAGCATGGGCATAGGTTTAATATAAACATACGGCTGCAGTGAAATAGAAATCTTTTCTGGCATAAGCTTTTTCTTGTTGACTATGGGACAGCTATAGGTGACTAGTTTAGATTAGATGTTGAACTTTTAGTTAGGTGAGTCTTTAGTTAGGTGAGATGAATCTTGCTTTTAATAACATTTATCCTCTTTAGACTTTACCCTTCATGTCTCAGCATGCAGCAAACCAATAACAAACTCCTTCCTGTGTAATGACAATACTCTATAAAGCTAATTATACCTAGGTCAGTGATTACTAATTTACATACAGGCAGTATCCCAGAGAGCTTGCGGATTTCCTTACAAAATCCAGTAACATTGCATGAAAATTAGTGTGTTCCCTACAGTTTTCTAGATCTTAAGCTGGTTGAGATCAGCAGAGCAGCACTGATGGCAAGTGAGTTACTCCTTTTATCCCTTTTGATCCTTCGATACTTATGTTGGCCTAGAAATAATGGAATCACCATATCTACTTAAGGATCAATATAAATGTGGAGGGCTTGTTTCAAAGTTGAACATGGAAAATGAAGCACCTGAAGTTATGTGTGGGCATCACAGAGACACTGGTCTGATCTTCTCAGGTGCTGATTTCCTACCAGCCCCCTGGAAATCAAAGGGAGGATCGTCTCTTTGACCAGACGTTTGATCTCTGCTTCCAGGGATCCTCAAGAGGATCCTTCCTTCTTGAGGAATCAGGGTGGGAATGGAAAAAATTGGGCATGGGAAGATCATGTGATTTTGCTATCGATCCCTGGTACATCTTGATGTCTACCCATCCAGCTTTACAAACCTCTTCCCCTGGAGTGCTGTTGGAATCATATCCACAAGCTACGGCATATGGCGCAGGGTACACATCTGTCCAGCCCTGGCTTGTGCAATTCCTGGTCACGTTCCCTGGAAGAAAAGAGAAAAGGATGATTTCAAAAGAAACGTTCAAACTGCTGTTAAACGTCTGCCTTTTATTGATTCAAATGCCAGAGCACATTTCTTGTAACACTTAAAATGAGTAAAATTCTCATACTTTTTCTCTGTTACAAAGTGTTCATATTACACAGAACACATAAATGGGAGGGAAAGTTCAGGGTCGTAAAGTTCAGGCCTCAAAAACAAGTACATTTTAATACTGAGGTGCCCACAAAACATCTCTTCTAATGGTACCATAATGCCAGTTGTACCCGGACCTTTGGTTGTTGGCACTGCACCAGTATTGTTTGAGAGTGTTATTGTCATATTGCCTTTGTTCCTAGAAATTTTTTCATCTAAACAGAGCAGTGAAGTATTTACGTCTTTCACTTCGCTTGCGAGAAGCCAAGACAGGGATAGATAAAGTGGTCATTTCACTTTATGCAGGTAAGGTCGGAGGTCTGGGAACTGAATGCAGTCCTCAAAACACAGACCTTGCCTACAAGATGAGCCCTGATCAAATGTGATTCCTGGGAAATCTACTGCACTCTTGTTTGAGAACGAAACACTTCAAAATTTGGCTATGAGGGGAGAAAAAACATATATCGACAACCTGTATTGCCTGTTTTAACATGTATGCTCAAAGGCAGGAAGATTTCCTGGACTTTTAAGCAAGTTGAGTGCCTAGGGCCTCCAGCCGGCTAAAAAGAGCCTTAATTAACATAAGGACGTCTCTCTCCTTCAGCCAAAACTGACAAAACTGTGAAGTTCGCATGCCTCTCTGGTACTCTGCACTTCCTGGTCCATCCGGGACTGTAACGGGGCTGTCCGGTGCAAAGCATTTCTCACTTTGTAAGACATCTCTGCTTCCTGTCCCAGCTGGACCTCAAACCCACATTGGCTAGGGGATGTACAGACGTTAATCAAGCAAAAGAAGGAGAGACCAACAATCTGACCAGGATAGGCCTTAGCCTAAAAGGCTCGTAGTCTAAAAGGCCAAGATAGATGTTTGTCAGACAGAAATAAGAAAGAAGCAATAAATCCAACAGCACGTTGCAAATTCCCCCAGCACGCACTCTGACCAGCGGTCCCCACCCTGTCCGTCTCATGCGGATCACATCACTGTGGCACGCCTTTGGTGTCATTTATCACACAAAACTGCCTGCCATCCCCGACTGGAAAGCTGGTACAATAAACCAGAATGAACAAACAGTAGTCAAAACTCGCTTCTTAGATGAAGAATTACATCAGTGGAACTCAAGAGCTTTGCAAACATTTCCAACAATGGGGTTCTTTGCGCACAGGAATAATAACACTGCAAACAGGAGCAAATCAATTATGCAGCTATGAGTCATGAAAACATTCAAGCATCACCTCCAGGAATTTCTGACAATTGAGTCATCTGAACATCTTCCTAACCATAGACCTGTCTTACACTGAAATCAGCAGCAGCCTATCCCCTGGCTTAATTCACGTCTTGAATCCCCGTGAGAGGTGTATTTTGACACTAAAACTTGCCCCTGTAATTTGCCTTTACAACAGATCTAAACCCCATGAAGGCTCTGGTGCCTTTGTTCACTTTAACAGCTTCTCCAAAAGAAGTTAACCTTAGCACAGTTTGGTGGGTTGCTGTTCCCCAGGCTTTTTCTGCACGGTCATTGTTTGCAATTCTTTTTACCAGGGTTCATATCAGGATCATGAGAGATCTTGTGCAAACAAATGAAGGACATGACTGTTCAGTACTTTTTTTTGTTGAGGTGTTATGTAATTTATGTTATTTCTTCTTCATTACAATGGTTCCCATTATCTGAACTTTTCTGCTTCCTATTTCCTGCTCAAAACTCCTCCTCTCCGTTTGGGAATGCCTTTAGCTTTCACAGTGGTTTTGATTCTTTGCTTCTTATTCCCAGTGAACTAAGGGGTGCTTCTTTCAGCTTAATTTTCTCATATTTCTCCTATTTATTCTTTTTAAGTGCACTTCCTTACAATTGTTTGATTCTTTTTGTAATTCTTCTCACTGCTCTCAAGGATACTTTCAAAAGTTGTCTTAAGGCTTTAGCAGATGCGGAAACTAAGGTAGAGGGAAGCACAATGATACAGCATCACTGGGATTAAAAAATAATAATAAAAATGTTCCTAATTTTAGGGAAACTCGCTTCACAGAGAAGTTTTTCTACCACCCTTTGCTGCCCATGTCACTTTTCGATGCGCAAATCAAAACATGGTATCACACGGCGTGATACAACAAACCTTTCTAATAACTCTCATGTTCTGTACTAGACGTCTGGGAGGTGCAAAAAGTACGAGGTTAGAAGACACAGATGTTACCACACCACAATTTTGGCTCAAGTGATGGATGGTGTCTCCCCTCAGAGCAAACAACATTTCTAATTAGTACTACTTACCAGATTACTTTCTATACTGAAAATGACCACAAAATCTGGAAAAGTGCCTGTCGTGGTTTAATCTCAGTCGGCAACTGAGCACCACGCAGCCGCTCGCTCACTCCCCC